AAGGCTTTCTCTGCATCCAAGAATATCATGGCCATCTGTTTCTCCGGGTGCGCTTCATAATACTCCAAGGAATTTAAAACTATCCTTATATTATTCTTCATGTGTCTTTTCGGGAGGAACCCAGACTGATCTTGGTGTATCAGGTGGATTAGAATTCTTTTCATTCTGGTTGCCAGGATAGTCGCATATATTTTGTAGTCCACATTCAACAATGAAATCGGCCTATAATTTTGTATTTCTTTACCTTCCGTGTTTTCTTTATGTATCAAAGAGATTGTCGCTTCAATCCATGTACAGTAGCTGGTATTTTCCCCTCTTCTTCAATATATTCTAGCAGTTTTTTAAATGGCTGAAATAGTACTTCTTCCAGTTCTTTGTAATATTCTGCTGGTAGTCCGTCCGGGCCTGGTGCTTTCCCATTTTTTTGTTTTTTAAGGGCTTCCATAATTTCTGCATGTGTTATAGGCTCATTTAAGGACTGAGTTTGTTCTTTAGTCAGTTTCATTTTGTTATACTTTAATACATATTCTTCCTGGGTTCCTCTATCGACTTCTTTTTTCTTGTATAGCTTGCGATAAAAATCTTCAACAATTTCCTTTAATTCTTCCTGTTTAAATTTATCTATTTCCTTTTCATCTTTCAGGGTTCGGATTATTGTCTTCTCTTTCCTTAGTTTATATGCTAGCCATCTTCCCAGTTTATTTGCATTCTCAAAAAAATTTTGCTTTGCAAATTTGAACTTCTTTGCAGTTTCTTTGGTGAGCAGTATATTAATCTGATGTTGTGTAGATTTTATCTTCTCTATCAATTCTTTATTGGTTGGATTTTGTTTCAGCTGCTTCTCCTCTAACGCTAGCCTGTTTTCTAAGATCTCGTATTTTTCCCGTCTTTCTCTTTTTTGTTTTGCTGCAAATCTTATGGCTAATCCTCTAAAGCAAGCCTTACTTGCCTCCCATACCATAAGCATTGATGTATCTGGTCTCATATTCTGTTTAAAGAAGAAGTCCATTTCTTCTTTTGCTTTTTTCTTAAATTCTTCATTTTTTAGATGTAGTGTATTAAGCCTCCAATTAAATTCTCTTGGTCTACTACCTACTTGTACCAGAATCGGATTATGATCTGAGAATGTATTAGGTAGTATATCTATTTGTTCCAATTCTTTCATTATGTTTATTGACATCCAGCATGCATCAATCCTTGACCATGATTTATGCCTGTTAGAGTAGAAGGTGTAATCTCTTGTCTTGGGGTTACATGTTCTCCATATGATAATCTAATCTAATATATTCTTAGAACCACATAGCTGGAAGGGACCCCCCTCGGGGTCATCCAGTCCAGCCCCTGTCAAGGAGGGTGGGTGATTCAAACTCCCAACCTCAGGCTCCACAATCAGAGACCTCGACTCCTGAGCTATAGAAACCAAGGGTTGAATGTTCAAAGCCAGTGTCGTCTCCTTGAGTTTGGGGTTTTCCCCTCAGGCATGAGTCCTACTCATCCTCCCTCTACACCTTGGCTCCCTGGAGGTTCTTGGACTTCCAGCGCCCAGAAATCCTGGCCAGCTCAGTTAGCAGTGAGGGCTTCTGGGAGTTGTAGTCCGAGAACCTCTAGGGACCCCAGGTTGGGACCCACGGGTGTAAACCCATGGCTAATTTGAAGTGGAAAAATGGGGAACTGCATTACCGCAGATCAAGGTACAGTGGTGCCTCGCTTAACGGGCGCTCCGTTTAGCGACGAAACCACATAGCGACGAACTTTTTGCGATCGCAAAAGAGATCGCATTGCGATGTTTCCTGTGCATTTTTTTTTTTTTTGCTTTGCGATGATTGGTTCCCTGTTTCACTTACCGATCATCACAAAGCGATGATTTTTTAACAGGTGATCAGTGATTCCAAAATGGCTGCCGGGTAAAAAAAAATGGCCGCCCGCTGTGTTTTCGCATGGATTCCTCGCTTTAGAGGCAGCGAAAATGGCCGCCATATGGAGGATCTTTGCTTTAAGGTCAGTTTTTTGCCCATAGGAACGCATTAAATAGGTTTTAATGCGTTTCTATGGGCTTTTTAAAACCGCATAGCGACGAAATCGCTTAGCAGTGATTTTTGCTGCACGGATTAACATCGCTATGCAAGGCACCACTGTATTTGTGAGCTCGGAATTGGTTCCTTCATCTAACAGTAGGGTCTCCTGGATCGGGCTCGAAATTTGCTACAGCCAAAGGGAAAAAAAAAAAACACCATCCGTTCCAAACAAGGCTCGGAAAGGAGTGGGGTTTGGGGTCAAAACCTCTCCTGGAAAGGGGAGAGACACCCCCCCAAGCATGCTCAATGCCGGGGAGGAGTTAGTGTGGATTTACTGCATTGAACCCCATCCCCATCTGTCAGTTTAACCTTGACCTCCCAGGGAGGTCATAGTGGTAAAAATAAAGGGAGCGGAGTCAGCTTCACGGGCGAAAGGCAGGATGCCCATGAAGTAAAACAGAGTCATGTGATTGATGAAGCAGGGGCATTTTTTTTTGGGCATTTGTTATTGCATGTTTTATATGTGCATTTCTCTTACCATTTGCTTGGAATATCAGACCCAAGTATTTGTAGTATTGTACTTGCTCAATACGTACCTCATTTAATTTCCAAATATACTTTTTAGGTCTTTTAGCAAATACCATTACCTTGGTTTTGTCATGGTTTACTTCTAATTGATTGTGATTGGGGTTTGGGGTCAAAACCTCTCCTGGAGAGGGTAGAGACACCCCCCCAAGTGTGCTCAATGTCGGGGAGGAGTTAGTGTGGATTTACTGCATTGAACCCCATCCCCATCTGTCAGTTTAACCTCTACCTCCCAGGGAGGTCATAGTGGTAAAAATAAAGGGAGCGGAGTCAGCTTCACGGGCGAAAGGTAGGATGCCCATGAAGTAAAACACAGTCATGTGATTGATGAAGCAGGGGGTTAAGCAAAATGTGCCCAACCATCCAGCCCTAGCGGCTGTGTTGAGGTTGATGGGCTTTGTAGTCTAGGAACATCCAGAGGGTCACAAATTCCCCATCTTGGCTTTACAGGGAAAGCCCATGGGTTGGGAAAAAAAACAACCCCATGTCTTCGAGTCTATGGAGTTTTGGGTTCCGGAGTCCTGCTTTCTCGGCCTAGGAACCCTAGAACCCTAGGGGCCCTAACACACCCGTCTTGGTTCTCTTTCCCCAGGATGGCCAGTCACGAACCGTGCGCCAGTTCCAGTTTACTGACTGGCCCGAACAGGGTGTGCCAAAATCCGGAGAGGGGTTTATCGATTTCATCGGTCAGGTGCACAAAACCAAGGAGCAATTTGGACAAGATGGGCCAATTTCTGTCCACTGCAGGTAAGAAGACACCCTTCCAAATTCCTCAAATTAAAACAAGCCAGCTCGGTCAGAGCTTCCCGTTCCTTGTTTTCCAATTTGCCTCTTGCTAATTCATAATTCGCACCTTGGAATTTAAGACGGCTGCTCAGCCGACCCTAGTTTTTAAGCCGAATACCCACTCCTGGGAGACCAGTTTCTGCCTCCTGATTAGCCAGCTTGGGCACGAAATGCGAGGTTCTTTCCTTCCCAAATCCTTTGCAGAATCCTTTAATTAGCAAAAGTCTAAGCCGGGAGGCTGAGGTCCAGAATTTCGAGCTTAGCTGTTGTTCTTTCAGTTCCCCAAGTGAGAAAGAAAAATAACTTAAAGAGTACGCAAAAAAACAAGAGGCCCTTTTGGTTATTTGGATGTCTTGAAAAAGGGGCTAGTCATCAGGGCCAGAATCCAGGGAGAATAATCACACCAGTGTTAAGTCCGTCAGCGCAAATTTCAACATCAGATCACCGCCAGCGAAGACGTCGACGTACATATTTCTTGTCATGCCCCAAGTTGTGTGAGTGACATGTGACTGGGAATGCAACCGTCGACTCCTTCACTAGTAGAAATTCTGAGCTTTGTTCTGACGGGCTGAACTCCGTCTCTAGGATTTGGGCCAGCATTATTTCATTTTGTAAAAAAGTATCAAGACAGGACTCGAAGTATCAAGGTCATTAACTAAGTCACCGGTTAGCTTGTAATGTGTTTTTACACATCACCAAAACTCAGGCCAGACATTACAAGCTTAGCTGCTAATTGGTCTGGTTGGTTGTGAGTGCAGGCAGTATAGGGGAAACATCCGTTTTCTAAGCACCAGGATTGTGAGGTTTTGTGTTGTTACATTTAACAGGCAATCCCACAAAGAATACTAAAAGTACTGAGTCCTTAATAATCCCCATAGTGTTTATTGGGAATCAACAGAGTATTCTGTCATCATAAAAGCACAGAGCACAATTACACGTGTCAATAGCACACACGTGGTTGTAGAAAATAGAAGCAAAAAAAAAAAGTAGAAGATTAGTAGAAAATTAAACCATCATAGATGGCTTGAGTGAAAAAGGCTGTTAAAAAACTTTCCCATTTCTGTAGCAGTGAAAGATCATGGGGTGCTAAGCACAGAAAAGCCACCAGGGAGGGACTTAATAATAGCATACGTATATTATGTCTTTCCAAGACTCTTGATCAGAGTTCCATGGAGAACAACACGCAAGAGAGACCCACAACCAGGCGCCCCCACCTTCTGATTCGGTTGAATCTAGTAAATTGGAAGGTGGTTGTTAAACTTTGCCAAAGTAAAAATAAAATTTAAGGCTTTTATTGAAGGCAGGTTTAAAAGGAGCATAAACAGGGTGTTCCTCAGGAGAGAGGGAGGCCATGACATTAAGTCCCAAGAAGCTGTGAAACCCTCACGGCAGGTATTCTTGTATTATTATTATTTTTCTTGATTCTTTCAAGAGCAACCGAGATCATCCAGAGCGGTTCGTGGTGGTTAATCTGCTGTTAAAGCCTTAGTTGGTTAATCGCCTCGCTGGAGGGATTAAAAAGCTCTCGGCTCCAGGCTCACTTGAAAACGTCTGCCTTGTGGCGTGGAAAAGATATATTCCATGAAAATATATATATATCTGCTGACGAATATCACGCTGACAAATATATATTCATCAGCACGAAATTTGTCTGCAGAGAGAGAGATTCGTCAGCACGAACACACAAAATCCATGGGGGACGGAGGCGCCTCATTTCCCTGCCAGGAAGTGAACGTGCCCAGCCAAGTGGCTCCCAGGAAGCAGGAAGTGACAAGCTGTTTGCCCTTGGGGGAGGGGGTTGAGGTAGGAAAGGATGTCCAGGTTCAGCCACCCCGGTGTCTTCTGCATCTTGTCCTGCAAAGAACAAGAGAGTGGGTTAGTTTTTTTCCCGCCCATCACATTCCCAGTTTCAGAGATGATGTGGGCCCCACGGCAGCTGATGGTGTCACAACCCAAAGGCTGTTTGGGGGGAGCCTTTCCTTTGAGCCACAGAGGCCACGTCTGCTCCCCTCGGTGGTCATTGTGGGCTAAGCCTCGCTTGGCCTTTCTGTTTCTGTACATTCCTGGCCATGTATGAATTCATGGAAAGGTGGGCCTGGATCTCCCCACGACACAAAGAGCGGTGGGTCAGCCGACCAGCATAGATATCGAACAGGTAGGGAGGGCCTGCTGGAATATATAGAGAGATGTCTATATGTGGCTATATATGCACACACATGCATTTATCTATCTATCTATCTATCTATCTATCTATCTATCTATCTATCTATCTATCTATCTATCTATCTATCTATCTATCTATCTATCTATCTATCTATCTACACACACAGAGAGAGATAACTGAACTTAAATAAAGGTACTGCATATTTAAGAGCTTATAGTGAGCTGTATGAATATCAGCATTAAAGATGTGTATTTCAATATATGTTATCTGTATGTAGATATAATCTTGTATTCAGGCATAGAGACAGAGATAGTGGCATTGATAGATAAAAATATTACTCTCTAAAAAAACTGTAAAGCAAAATACATGTTTAGCTGCATAATTAGCTACCGGAAGATACTTATATTCAGATATATAATAATCTTAGAATAAGATTATAATTCTAAGATAATTATATACCTGAGTATAACTGACTGTATAGTTAAATATAAATTTTGGTGTCTATATCTACAGATAGTGGTGAATGCCTAAAAGTATATATATGAGAGAGAGAGCTAACTAAACGTATATGTATATTCTGGTATTCTTTGATTTATTCTGGTATTCCAGTCTATCTAGTAACAAATATAGCTATCAGAATACACCTCTTAACAGTTATTGATACTACGATAGACCGAGGAATATCAGAACATGCCTAATTAACAGATACTAGAATGCATCTAGTAATACCTGGTGTATTCTGATATTCATATTCTGATTTATTCGAGCATCAATCTCTGTTAAAAAGTACATGGGAATATCAGAATATGCCTACTAGCAGATATTGATACTAGAAAATACCAAGGAATACCAGAATACACCTGTTAGCAATTACATCAAGTACATCAGAGCCCTGCAGCAATGCTATGAATCTGCATCCAAAGTTTGGGGGGGTACAATGGCCCGGAAGCAGCTTACCCCCCCCACCCCATGGACACCCCCCCCAAGCATGGACGTCCGTAGCTGCCTTGCAAGCCAAGCCAGTGGAGGTACTGGTGGGGAAAGATCCTCACTATCCTGGCTTCCTCCCAACGAGCCGTCAGCTGTCTCTCCATGACGAACACACCGACGGAACCTCGTGCCCGGCTCCCCCCTCCAGGCACCCTGCTCCCCTGCGCAGGGGTTGGGGTGGGTGCACCGGACCAGTCCCTGTTTCTCTGCCACATTGACAGTACGCCGGGCTCCCAGGCTGAGACAGTGTGGGTTTGCGTGTGTCTACGTGGACAAAGAGCTTTCCTGCTGACCTTTTTTAACCCGAGACAAACTCCCGTCTTCGTTGGCGAGCTTTTCTCGGCAGACCCGGTTGGGGGCGGGCACTCCCTTCTGATTTCCTGACGCCTTTTGCTGGTTCCACTTCTCACAGAAGGCACTTTTCCGAGCAATTTGCCGCTCTCCGCTTCAACTGCTCCTGTAAAAATAACAATAATAAAGGCCTCCAAATATGGTTTTCATCTTCTGAGAATTAGTGTTGTGGATGGAAATCCTTGCACCAGGCCCTCAGAGTGCACATGAACGCATAATGCCAGGATACACCAATACAGTATATATTTGCCATTACCTTAACGCTTACGTGATCAATGAACAGAAGTATTTTAAAAAGATGTTTTAAAGGTGTACATATTTTAGTGAGTAACCACATCCCTCAAAAGGATCCAGAAAAGCCTTCGCTGAAATGATGTTGAGTTCTCCATATCTGTTTATGTCTATTATTAGAATATATGTATTATATATATAACATGTGTACAAGCATGAAATCCAGCCCAAATGTGTTTATACGGAGGGCGTATATTCCATCCTCCCTTCTTGCGACAGCCACGAAGCTCTCTAGCTTCTATTTTGCTAGCAGAGAAGGCTGAACCCTGTGTTTTTCCCCATATCCAAGTCCCCCCCCCCCAAGTTTAAATTAACTCCATATTCAAGGAACAATTATGAATATAGATTTTTAAAAACCCAAATCCGTAAATAGACTTCTCAGCCCTTTGGGAAAGTCCAATTTGATAAGGCACAGCTGGGAAAATATTGTGACCATCTGAAAAACATGGAACAAGAGTGAGCTCTCCAGATTTATTTATTAACTACTAGTTCCATAATTCCTCATTCTCTGAGTTCTCCCTGGTTTATGCACACCATATCTAAATGTGACTCACCTGGGAGACTAGGCCTTAACTCAGGCTTCGCTAGGCCTAGCTCCCGTCCAAACTTCCTGTTCCTGTTCCAATGGTCAGTGGAAGCTTCCTGTCTGAACAGGAGAAGTTAGGCCTCGGATCCTTTCCGGTTGAGGCCGTGCTCCCAGATGAGCCAGAGCATGGATCTGTTAGGTCGAACTCCTAGAATGGGATTTGTAGTCCCAAAAAATACCCCCCAAATCCCATTTCTTTACATGAAAAACTAAGAGCTTAATAAGAAAGAAAGAAAGAAAGAAAGAAAGAAAGAAAGAAAGAAAGAAAGAAGTAGACCTATTCAAGACTGAGACTCTTCAGCACTGAGCTTTTTAAATAGATCTGTTCACATTCGGCTTATCCCAGATTGGAATTTTTAAAATCTCAGGTCTTTTCCATCCTGAATATGACAGCAATTCACAATGTTTGGTGGATTCTTCCTGTAAGAGGAACTGAAAGGAGAGCCTCCCTTGCGATCCTTGATTTGCGGAGAAATGTGAAAGGAGCTTAAGAAATGTATATGATGGAGGGATGTTTAATTCTACCTCCTGCCGCTGACGCTCCTCTCCTGTAGACTCCCAAGTATCACATGACGGGTGTTGTGTTCTGTGTGGTGTTTTGCAAAATAAGGCCTTACCACAGGCTCACAAGCAGCTTTCTCTGCAACTCCTTTTTTCCTTTGCAGCGCTGGGGTAGGCAGGACCGGCGTTTTCATCACGTTGAGCATCGTGCTGGAGCGGATGCGCTACGAAGGGGTGGTAGATATTTTCCAGACGGTGAAGATGCTTCGGACACAGAGACCCGCCATGGTGCAGACGGAGGTAAGCGCAGGACGCACCGGTGTCGGTGGCTTTGTACTCGCCGCAGGTGAACACGGCGGATTTGTATGGCGAATAGCCTGCGAACCCCCTAGAGGCACAAATCGTCCCTGGGGCTGCATACCTAAGATCAGGAGGGAGACAGGATGGTTTGGCACCAAGCTATCAAACTGGCAAGTTCATTTCCTCTTCCTCATACACATGACCTCAAGCCACTGCCCCATGGCTTTCAAGCCCAAAATACAGCATTGTTGTGGCAGTAACACACTGCCCGGGGTCACTACAAGAGGAAAAGAGAAATCAACCATTATTCACTTTTGGCAGCGTTAAACATGGAGTAAATAAAAAAACCACCCCGAGGAGGTACGTCATTTTTATTTCATAATCCTTCAGAACAGCCAGATAGCATTCTAATATTCTCTCTTTTTTTCCCCATCTTCGGTCCACCCCTTTTCCTTCCTCAAATCTTTTCAGGATGAATATCAGTTCTGCTACCAAGCTGCGCTGGAGTACCTGGGCAGTTTTGATCACTATGCAACATAAAAAATAAAAATAAAAAAAAAACCCAACCAACCACTGAAACAAAGCAAAACAAAAATCAGAAAAAAAAGCCATCCGTTGTGCGGACACATACCACTTATAAGTCCCGGAAGGCCCTTTTTTTGAGCTACGAGAGGCTATAGCGTCAACCATTTTTTAAAAAAATTAAAATAAAAAGAGAAAGAAACTACGGACTCAACCAGAAGGGAACAAGTGACCTCCTTGACCGCTGCCCGGTTTCGGATGCTGCCATGGGAAAGGAGCAGCGCGCAAGGGAACCCAGCACTCCACACGATGCTCTCTCGGTCCCACCTGCGTTTCGAAAAGCCTGCATCCGCCGGCGGTTGGTTCAGAAGGAGGATTTTTTTTAAAAAAATTCATTTTAAGTGGCGAATTTGGTCTTACCTCATCAGGTGTTTGCAGCGTGAGCAGCTCGTGAGTGACTGGCGCGGAACTCATCCCGACGCGTCGCCAAACTTTTAAACAACAGTGCGCCACAGAGACAGACACATACACACACAAAGCCACGCACCTGAGCGCCACCCACACACTCTGGCGAAGGACCAGGGAGAGAGCCCAGGAGAGCGAGCTGGAGGACGAGCGTGAATTTTGGCGGCAACGAAAAACGCAAGAGCAGGGAAGCGGAATTTTGACCAGGGCGAACACAATTTGGGGGGGCTGGTTCACACGACTCTAAACTGTTGTGCTTTAATGGGAGCCCCTTAAAAGGTTTGCTTAATTGAGGGGGGGGACAGAGGTTTCACACTGGCTAAGACCAGCCTTGGTATTCTCCATGTGGCGTTACAACCCCACCATCACAACGCTGGGCGTTTTTGCCCCCCATGCGGGAAACCCTCTTCTGCGTAACTCATCTTTTCAGGAAAATTAATAAAACCACTTAGAACATTCCGTAGAGCCAATGATTCCAGAATGTCTCTGTCGTAAAAACGAAGCAAACCAACTGGCAATAAAGATCCCAGATGTCTCTTAAATGGGAGGGGGAGGAATAAAACTAACCGCACCCCCTTTCCCGCATCTTCCCCCCCCCCCAAACTCACATCAATGGGTACGTTGACTTCCGGTGATTTCCACTTCAGCTCCACACTCCTTATGTTTTGCTCTCTAGATTTCTAGTGGACAGAGGTAGGAAACAGATTAAATTTTTTTAAAAAGAAAATCATTTCAGTTCAACAGGCACCATGGGGGAGTTGTGGGGTTTCCCCCTTCCTCCCCCCCAATTCCATTGTCCCGTCAAAACACGCCTCGTTCAGTTGTGGTCAGCTATTTTGTGGGTATTTTACTGCCTTTTTCCCCAACGCCAAAGAAAAAAAGAAAACAGCCCATTTCTAAGAGGCCGCTATTACAAGGTGGATTGGTGGGGTTTGGAGGAAGTGGTACGACGTTAAACTGTCTATATAGCGTTACGGCGCTAAAGTGGAGTTGAACCATCACCATGGAAGCATTGCATCCACTTGTAATAATAAAAAGCAAGATAGGGGGTACGGGAGGGAAGAGGGTGACAACACCCACAGAGTTTCTTTGAAAAGTTATCGGTGTAACTCTTTAAGTAAGTGACATTAATTTTTATTTTATTTTTTAATTTTATGGGTCTCTTCTTTTTTTAAGTGTAATTTTTTTCTTTTTTAAAAAAACATGTAAAAAATACAAAAGAATATCAGTCGATGACTTTACAAAATAATAATTCCTTATTTGTTCATATTATGTTCAAAGACAAGTCTATTTTTTCACTGTAGAAACGTTAACGTGGAATGGCTGTGTGAACATAAGAGGGGGAAACGCCGTGTGAAATATTGCTACTTTTACATATTGCTTTTTCTACCCGTGAAACGAAAAAAAAGAATGAATCCCGTAAAAAAAAGGTTTAACCGTATATGAGCAAAAGTGATGCTGCTTTTTAAGAAATATATATAATTTTTAGGTACAAGGATAATTGTTTCTCTCTTTTGTGAGGTGTATAGAGAGGTTTGGAGGAAAAAAGGTACGAGTTTAGAGGAGTTTGTCTTAGGCTGGCTGAGGGTGCGGGTGGGCCACCCGACCTGCCTGCTTGCACCCCGACCCCAGTGCTTTTTGGGGGGACCAGTGGCGAAATGGGAAGTAAACCAAAGTGCCCATGGGATTGTAGGAAATTCCCCAGAGACGGAGGCTTGAATCCGGATGATGCAAATAATAATAATAATAAAGTCGGCTTCCCGATGCAGAGGAAGGCAACCCGCCCCACCAGGCGGGGTTGGTGGTGGAAACCACGGGAGTCGATTTTGCTGTGGGGAAAAGTTAGATGTGCAGACCCCGTTTCACCAGCTGGAAGGCCGCGTATCCTTCTGCCATCTGCAGGCCTGACGCTTTCCGCACCACAATGACAGACTGCGCGCACTCGGGAGTGGAAATCTCTGCTCAGCCTTAAGATTTTCCGAGGGGGAAGGCTGCCTTTTTCTCTTCCTGTGTCTCAGTTTAACCTACCTCACAGGACCGTCGTGAGGCTACGAGGCCACGGCCAGCCTCGCTCTGGGGAGGAAAGGAAGGGAGGAAACAGCTGGGTTTAAGGGAATCCTCTCTCTCTTTCTGTGCGCATGCCTCCCGGCTCTTCTGACACCCGGTTTTTAAAAATCTGGAACTCGAACCCGTGTTCTCTCCGGATTGAGGCTGCAGAAACTTGGAATAACCTAGTTTTTAAAATTTAAAAAAAAAGTATCCACACAGACCATTTCTCTCATCCCACTTGAGGCCTAATCTTTCTTTTACGATGTTGGAAAGGAAAGAAAAAATAAGGGTATAAGGAGAACTTACCTTAGCAGGTTGTGGGGCGAACGGAAGGAATGGGCAGCAGGGCAAGCCGACTTTTTTATTTCCATTTCTTTTGGGTTTTTCTCCTTTTCGTTCCCTTCCTTTGTACGAAAAGCAAGGCTCTGTTGCTTTCCATGCTGTTATTTCAAACCGGAACCGCTTCAAAGTGGCCCCTGTGCCACTGTGTATGTAGATATATATATTGACTTTGTATTAAAGGAAGATTGTCTGAAAAAAGAAAAAATGAGTGTGTTTGTTAAAATCGACACATCTTTTCTGGGAACGGTAGATCATCTTTTAGGGTCGTTCTTCGGGGAGTTGGGTTGACGAAACTAGTGACATCCCCGTACGAATTGCAGCACAAATGAGGTAATTAAATGTTGTTTTCTGAAGAACCTGTGCTTCTCAACAGGAGCCACAAAATGAGGAAGTGGATGGCCAAGATGATGGGGTTTGTAGTCCAGTAATATCCAAAAGGGTTACACATCTTTCCCCGGCCAAAACCCACAGAAAAGTCCCACGATATAAACCCCATGAGAACAAAAGGGACCTGAGGGGAACTGTTGCATTGAAACTCACCCGGCTCCCCATTTTAAGCAGGGAGGAACATCTTTGGTGGATCAGGCCCAGCCATTAGAGCTATCTGTCTCCCAGGCATCACTCTAACTCAGGTTGAGAAATTTAATGTGTGGGTTGTGCAAATTCTTTACACAGAGAAGAGTCAATGGGGGAAAATATATATGTATCACATTGCTTTTCTGTGTGAAATTCCAGTACTGGAATTTCAAAATGCCACTATCTGATTGTGCTTCTGCAAAGGGGAAAGGCCCACCGGCCTGTGCAGGATCCGGTCACCTGTACAAGTGTTGCATCCCCATGCAAGGTTTCTGGCTTATGGGGTTACAGCGCTCTTGGGCAGAGCTGTGCTGGATGAGACCCAACCATCTGGGGTCTCCCAGCCTCCGGTTTCCGCAAGCAGCGCCAGCCAGACCCGCAAAGCGAGGGGGTCGGGTTTCAGTTTCTCAAAAGGAAAAGGCAGGGAGAAAAGTCAGGCTTGTTCGCGGGTGGCCTGGTTCCCCAAGCACACAAAAGGGGACCCTCGGGGGCCCAAAAACGGCACTCAGTTACGCCTTGGGACACCCAAACTTTGTGGCAACACACCTCAAGTCCTGCAGGGTGGTGCAGAAAGAGGACTCCCAAATGGGAGAGCCACCCAAGGCTCCAGTCCTCATTGTAAAGGCTGGAAATACGAACTGCTAATATCACTGGTCTTCCTTCTGGCTTAACAAGGGACCAAGTTTTCCAGAGGCCCCATAAAGTAATCCCTTTGCTAAATTTGTTTGCCCCAAAATGTCTTTTAATGGGTCTCTCGCCCTCCTCCCAGATTCGACTCAATGCCTGTCTCTTGGGGTTTGTTTCTGCCTCCCCCCCCCATGAGGAACTGGGGAGACTAAAGCAAGCAAGCAAAAAGATTCCTAAGAGGAAAGCTGGCCTCCAGTTTTGGGAGCTGCTTGCCTCTTAAACAAAAGCAAAGCGTGCTGCTTATATAGTTTTGGGTGCTGCTTGCCTCTTAAAGAAGCAGAATGGGCCAGATGTGAAATCTACAGAGTCAGAAGGCGCTTGGAAAGAAATAAATGCAGAATCGCGAAGCCATAGATCTGCTCACGACTGACGACACAGGTTTGAAGTTTTGAACTGCAACGCCCAGCTGTCGACTTTCGAAGAGTGTGAACATGCCGTGACATCCTTGGTTTCAAAACAAACCACGGTTAGTAAAAATGCAGGTTACCGTAAGTAAATACACTTTCTCCCCTTTAACTGAGAATCTCTCAACGTGGATTTGGCCTTTGGAGGGGAGACAAGGGGAATACCCATGGATGTTTCGAAGAAGAAGAAAAACTAACACCCCCCCCCAATGAAACCCAATTCTTAGTCCCAGGGAGAGTTAGGACCATTGAATTCATGGGAGCTTTGAGGCAACAGTCTTTAAAGGAAGTGCCCCTTACCGCAAGGCAGTCCCGGGTCTGCTCCCATCCGGAAGGGGCCTCCTTCTTGGGCGGACTGCCATCCTCTCAGCCCTCCACCAGGGTAGGCACGAAATGAGCATTTTCTCCTCCATCTCTGTAGGTCTCGGCCCATCTGAGAAGATCATCAGGGTCAGGATCCAGTCTGGAGCCCCTCGAGAGAAGCCAGAGACAGAATTGGCAACATGGGA